AACCTAAAGGTGAGTGAGCGTAGCGAACGAACTTCAACCAGGACGTGATTGAGCCATGCGAACGAGCTCATCTTGAAAATGAACGAGCATTTGATATAAAACCACATTAGGACAGGGCGACGTCTGTCGGGCCAGCTAGTGTTGTCTAATTTAGAATAGATCACTTGACTTGTGTGGTAAAACTGAAAACAAAATGAGTCTAATACTACACAAAAATATGCCGTTTTTTCCTTGCACCATGGGTGTTACCTTGAGGAGTATGTTTTATCTATGGTGTTACAGACAGGCAGAAATTAAGATAACACGCGTTATGGATTTCCTATTGTATTAAATGAAAAATAACCGAAAAATTTATGATTCTACACAATGTACCTAGACCAAACTCTATAATTTTATTTATATTAGATGAGTTTTCGGGGTATGAAATATCTTATTAAAATGAAAAGTGTCAGTTTGGCCACGTTGGTCAGAGAGTCCTGGATGGGATAACTGAGCGATTAACGGCATTAACGCTCCTATTATTAGTAAACAAAATGATAAATGATAGGCTGCGAGATCCATGTGCTTCCCTAGTATTGTGTTCTTATATTATTTTCCAAGTCAGACTATGACATGTAGCACGGCCACCTTTAACTACAGGCCGCGGCCTGGTAGAATTGGCAACGTCGGAAGTGGTGTTGTTTAGTGACAGACGTCCCATAAGATAACATGGCAGACAGGTGACATCAGCTCTTAATTTGCACTTATTGATTTAAATTTATTAAAACACGTATTATAATGATATTGAAAATAAAACAAACATAATTGAAAACTGAAACAATATGAATTAAACATCTATATCTGTACATTTTTAAGCGGAGTCAATATTAAAACGAGTTCGCGAATCGCGAAGCATGATCAGGCCATGGGAACGGTTGCTATTATGGGTTTTTTTGTTAAGAACGGGTTTTTCGTATTTTTGACCCTCAAAACATACAATTTTACATTGTATCTCTAAAGAATTTTGTAGAGCTTGAAAACAAATAATTTAGTACATTAAAATGTTTTTTACAGTTATTGGTTACGGAGAGAATTAAAAAATGTAAATTAAAAAACCTCAAGTTATTCCAATAGCGAAGATTTTTAATTATTGTTTTTTCCTTATTTATAGACACATTTTTATAAAATTGGGTAAATTTACATATTTGTTTCTTATCATACTATTATTATTTTATATACTATATTACCCTCCCTGCAGCAGCAAACCTAGGTACCAGTCAACCTAATGCTATTTAAATAGGTTTGTGAAAATCAAATCAAGCAAATGGAAATTCGCTTAGTCTACAGGTTTGCTGAGGTGGGGGTATTTTTATTCATACTTTCATGTATTTTCTATTAATAGCAAATAAACTGGCATACTCTCTAAATCAATACGGTGTTTGCTTCAAACAACTATATTGTGGAAATATTGAAAAAAACCACAATTTTTTTACGTCTTTGGAAAATTTATTTATTTTGATGGTCTGTATTTTGACCATCATTTACGCTACATACTTGCTGTTGGGCTTAAACTGCCACAAATTTATTCTTCATTAATGTAATAATATAAAATTGTCGGTAAAATCAAAGGTTCGCAAGATTGAGTGAAAAACAATAGGAATTGCCATATTTTTTATATTTCGATAACAAGTGGCGCGCCCCGCGGCGAGCGGCAGTATCTCGAGGTGGATAACTTGGATTTTATGTTATGGGCCCAATACTAACAACATATCCAAAAATCAGAACTACCCGACCTTTTGCATACCAAAAATGTCTTATTTTACTGGACTATACCGTCTTTACTGAGCAGCTTCCTAAGAACGTAAATCCATTATGGTGTGATAAAATGTAAAATTGTATATAGTATAATTTTAAAACATGTTAAATATTATCACAGATGAAGATTTCCTCATTTTTGTGTTAGGTGTGAAATATTCCAGGAACAGCTGATATATACATATATATATATATATATATATATATATATATATATATATATATATATATATATATATATATATTTAAATAATCCAATGTATGTTTGTTTGTATGTGAGTTTGACTGAGCTCGGTGAGTCGGTGGCTCAGTCGGTAGCGTCGCGGACTTCGGACCCAAGGCAGTAGTGTCGTGGGTTCGGATCCTGGTCACTGCCGGCATTAACGCTCCTATTATTAGTAAACAAAATGATAAATGATAGGCTGCGAGATCCATGTGCTTCCCTAGTATTGTGTTCTTATATTATTTTCCAAGTCAGACTATGACATGTAGCACGGCCACCTTTAACTACAGGCCGCGGCCTGGTAGAATTGGCAACGTCGGAAGTGGTGTTGTTTAGTGACAGACGTCCCATAAGATAACATGGCAGACAGGTGACATCAGCTCTTAATTTGCACTTATTGATTTAAATTTATTAAAACACGTATTATAATGATATTGAAAATAAAACAAACATAATTGAAAACTGAAACAATATGAATTAAACATCTATATCTGTACATTTTTAAGCGGAGTCAATATTGTCATAGTCCAGTAACCAATCTTTCATAAACAGACAAATACCATTAGCTGATTCCAAACAAAACAGCTGTTAAAACAAAATTTGCGACGTTTCAACTTCGAAGGCCGCGATCTGTTAAAGGCGGCATTGGGGCCTTGCTTGCATGTAGGCAATGAGCTTTCAAGCTGGGTTTTCCTAGGCGCGGAAGCGGAGAGCGGAGAGAGACCGCGGAGAGCGGAATTAAAATTAACATGGCATTCCGCTCCGCTTCTAGGAAAACAGTAACATTAATTGCCTAAGACAAGTGGAGTCCGCTCTCCGCATTCCTCTCCCCGCTCGCCGATTCCGCGCCTAGGAAAACCCGGCTTTAGCGAATTTCCCATATAGGGAATAAGCTATTACCGTAGTATTCATGGTAAGACCTGGACGCGGGAATGATTTTTTTTTAGTTTTGAGGTCCCTAGAGGCCAAAAACACAATCCGTTCAAATTCATATATATATATATATACTAGTGGCCTGTAGGGGCCATAGCCCCTTATTTAGACTACAATAAAAAACCATATATAAAAAGACAAATATTCGAAATATGTTTTTTAAATTATCAATTTTATGTTACTTAAAATTAACAGTGTTTCTTGTTTTATATCTTGGTTTCCCTTCCGTTGGAGTCGTATATTAGTTGCTTCTGATGTGACAATGAAATACAATTGTAAAATAATGATTAAATCAATAACACAACATATTAACAAATGGAAACGTGCACACGGCCTGAGCCCGGAAAACGACGAATCAGAGCTGAAATCATACAGCCAAACATTGCACATCTTTTCTAGTTTAAAATTGAGATTTGTTTTGTAATCTTACGAATTCTGTTATAGTTTCCATTTTGAGAACCAAATGTAAAGGTTACAATTATTATTAATTATTATGAAGGCAACATATCTATGCATTTGTCCGACAGTAACGCCCATTTCCCGGAATCTCTTTTTGTGTAGCGGAAAGCGACGCAAAACCCATTGCACTGTTGTATTACCTTATGTTTTTTATGAAGTTCGAATCATGTAAAAACAGCTCTTTTAGCTCGTCATTGACTTGTGGTTGTGGCATGTCCATTGTGGCAACATGCGTTGAGATGTTCATTTGTGGCCTCCTCTGCGAAGTGAAATGCGCCACAATGCATGCAAGTGCTTTAGGAGGACCTAGATTGTGAGAAACAACATTCAACTCATTTTCCAGCGTTCTTCTACAGCTTCTGGATTTCTTTCACAGTTAGACCCTACATGACGTTCTCTTTTGAATTTCTTAAGTCTGTCGAATTCCTGGTCACTCTTTCACGTCTTGCAGGTGAAAGTGCACGTCCTCCCCTACCCTGTCTAGTTACTTCACTCATTATAAAAACGGAAAACAAAAAAAATAAACACAATTCATTTTGGAACATTATTTACCAACATTGACTTTCGGAATAAATGTAAGCATTGCAAATAAATAAGTAACAGCTGATAGAATGCAGACGTTTTTCAGTCCCCATGCATTTCTTATGGTGGATATTTTACGTTATATCTCGTTTTCTGGTAACTTTATGGGAATTCTGCTATTTTTCCCGAGTCCCTGGGGGTCAAGACCTTTAATTTAAGACCCCTCCCACTTCTCTGCGACTTACCAGACGTCCACAATTTTCTGGTAAAAATTTGGTCTTACAGAATTATATATATAGATAAGTGTGTGTGTGTCCGTTAGCACGATAACTCGAGCAAAAATGATCCGATTTTGATGAAATTTGGTACAAACGTGTAGACCTACGTTTAACGAGTTCGTGATCCAGAATGATCGGACCATGGGAAGGGGGTTTACGGGGGGTTTTATGGGGTAAAAATAGGTTTTTCCCATTTTTGACAAAAAAAACATAAAATTTAGCAATTTCTTTCCAAACCATTTTGTAGAGCTTAAAAAACATATAATTTAGTATATTGAAGCGTTATTATGTGCCTAATGGTTACGGAGAAAATTCCAAAAAATTGTAAATTTAAAATTCCCATGTTATTCTTATGGAGAATAAGTAAACTGTTGTAGTTTGCTTGTTTATGAACATATTTTGATCGAATTTGGAAAATGTTTTTATTTCATGCTAACTATTAACATAAAAAAAAACAGTTTTACCCTCCCTGATGCAGCAAACCTAAGTACTTGTTAAACTAATTCTATTTAAATGGGGAATGAATGTTATATTTTTAAGTAAACATTTCATTGTAAATCAAATCAGTCAAATGGAAATTCGCTTAGTCTGCAGGTTTGCTGTGGCGGGGGTATTTTATATCTATTTTGTTACTGTATAAAATCGACCTGCTACAGCAACAAAATAATTCGGTGCTGTAGGCAACAATTAAAATTCGCCTTCTGCCTTTCTGCAATCTGCGTACTTCTTTTACTTACTTCTAGTTCAAAGAAAAGAGAGATAAAGATAACTACTAACTAGATAACCCTAACTTCACTGCATAATAAACATAACTACTGATAAGTGATAACACTACCCTTACGATATTGATATTACAGTACATCTTTACTCCCCATTTGAATATTTTATTTTTAATCTATTAATCTTATGGCTATAAGCTTTATTAAACTATGATGGGATGTTAAACAGTACAAGAACTTGTTTGATTGTAGTCCTACATTTTATATTAAACAAAACAATAACTTGATTGTTACTTGAAAACGGAATCTTGTTTGCAGGTTATGGGGACTGATTGGTTAAAAAAGCCTATCAAAGGTTTGTTATTAGACATATCTGGAGTTCTTAAAAACGGCGATGAAGTAGTTAATGGATCCCTAATCGCATTGGAGAAGTAAGTACTGGTAATCATTGATTTAAATTATAATTGAAGGTTAGTTATTGTTTTTAAGTTAAACTTAAGCAGTAAAACATTTTGGGATTTCCCATTTAAAACTCAGTAGGCTAGGCATAGTCTCAATTTAAATTTAACTTATGCCAGTATGATAAACAAACCTAATGGGGAGGAATTTTGGCCACTGGTTCCTCTCGACAAACCCTGCATAAGTTAACTTAATTCCAAGGTTTGTGAAGATTGCTGCAAGATTATAGACAGACCCTCGGTCGGAGAAGGCTCTTGTGCCCTATTGTGGGGTGGGATAAAAATTCAAGACCCATACCTCAGCCTAAACGAACTTCCTGAATTGTAAAATTGTGTAAAAAGTGTATAACTTAGGTAGACCCTACCTAAAATGAAGTTTTGGAGGATAATAACTTAAGGCTCTAACCGTCTGTCCCGTGCAAATGCAAAGGGGTTTAGTTCTTACTGATTGTAGCCCCAATTGTGAACCGATTTAAAAGATCTTGGTGTCATATATTTTTCGTTAAATATTATTGTAGCCTAAGTTAAGTTAGTTTAGCCGTTTTTTTAAATTTTGATAGCCTATTTCAAAAAATGTTTGGTTCAAAGGTTGATGCAAATGTTGGTGATTATTTGATAGCCTGATGTCTACAACGCGATATCATGTAATTTTTAGATGTCTACCTACTTTCAGTATTTTTCACCCTGAATCCAAAAATGTAATCAGTTTTTGTCGGAGAGATTCCTAAGTGGCAGTAGGGGAAGGTGTTGTACCATGGACCTATTTTACCTTTTAATTTTTTTATTTTGATATGACACTTTAAAACACAATAAATGTTAGTGAAAAGTAATCCTTGTTCTTTAACACATTACATCATTTAACCCTTTATTTTCTCCCAAAAAAATATATTCAAATATTAAAAAATTATGACATTAGGACCAAGGTACAGTACCCTACCTATGTTATACCTTGGACCACTGATTTTTAGGTAGAGGAAATAAATGTAAGAAACACATTTAAATTATCAAATTAATAATTAGTCCTAGTTTTTATTTTATAAAATATAACACAATTGGCCCTTACAATACATATTTATACCATATGACAGAATTATTAAGGTCTTTTACGCTTTTAGTAGCCTAGGCTACTTTGGCGACTACACTTGATTCATTCGATATTAAAATGACCAAAGTTAACTCCAAAAGACAGTTTCTCAAGCTGGCGAGCGGATCCTCCACTGAGGTTAGGATGAGGCAGCAAATAAATAATATCTGTTTTACTGTTTTGTCCACTGGGTAAATTGTACACTCGCTTCTGATGAATTTAAAACAGTCTTTATCTTTTTTTCAGTATTGCACTTTGTAGGTTTCATCTTTTACTTCCATCACTTCGGCTACAAAATGTTTCACTGTCTTTTTAGTGGATAACTTCACTAATATAAAAGATCCAACCTCAATATTTTCATTATCATGGTCGATTAAGTCACTGAAATCTTCCTCGGAGTCACCTAATAAATCACAAATAAAGTCCTCATCTACTTCTAACTTAGAGTCAGAACTAAAAACTATTTTTTTTTTTGGGTGTTAGTTTTTTGTTTCTTCTGATTTCCTTCTCCTTTGTTTTTCTTTTGTTTTTTAGTTTGTTTTAGTGCTTCTTGTTCTTCAATTTTCTTTTTCACAGGTGTATCTGTTAATACACAAGATTATCCTTTTGGTCTACCTTTTCGGGTGTTTTTTCTGGCTTCTGCCTTAGGGTAAGGTCGGATTATTTCAGGAGACACAATGTTACATTGAGAAGGAGATGTCACCATATGTATACGCTTGCATGCCCGCTTGAAGTTGAAGGCTGATCATTCAATAGGCCTAAATTCAAGCTGATAGGCCTAGTTGATTCATTTGATTCCACCAGGTCCACGAAGTTAGATGGTAGGCCTACATTTGGTTGAGCGCTGTTTTCAATTGTGTTAATGGGGTTTTCCACTGTTGACGAGGATTCAGCTGGTTCAAGAAGTGGTCGATCAGTCACATTGGATGGAAGAAACTCATGATCTTTGAATATGTTCGTGTTTAACGGTTCTATCCCTGTTACTTGAAATCCATTTATAATATTGCTCGGGGTGAAAGCCAAGGGAAATGCTTTTCTGACTAGTTCAGCGATATCATAGATTGTTGCTGGTTTGCCAACATTGCCAGATCTCAACATCCATTCTTTCATAGCTGTGTTGTAGTAGGCTTTGAAAGGTCCGAACATACCACGGTCCAAAGGTTACATTTAATGACTGGTGTGAGGAACAAACGTCAATAAAATAACTCCATTATCCTTAGCCAGCTGAATTGACCTGACACTTATGTGGCTTTCGTGGTTATCGAGCAAGAGAATCTTTGGGGTTTCCTTGCTTTATTTGCTGTGCTTCATAAAATGGAGAATAGTTCTTCGTTTGAACAACCAGAAGGATTAGCATCACCAATTGTTCCTACTGGTGCACCCTTGAGCACCTGGGGAATATTAGCATGGGAGGTATTAACCCACCACCAGCATTTATTGCAGCGATCATTGTGATGTTGGTGGCTCGTTCTGCATTTGTCATCTGCCCTATCTGTTTAACACCTTTAGGTGCAAGAACTTTAGGATGTACATGAACTGTTGTCATCCCAGTTTCATCACAGTTCCATATATTTTGAGCAGGAATGCCTGGGTGTTTTTCCAAGACCGATTTATAGTTGTTAAAAAACAAATCAACATTTGCCTTGTTAAATGCTGTTGATCTGGCCAAGCTTGTTGCCTCAGGCCGCCGTAAAGATAGTTCCTTAGCATATTTTTTTCTAAAAGATCGAAGCCAAAATTTGCCAGCCATTTGGTTGGCATCCTAGGACTTATCATACGATTTGTTGTTCGCTTTGGTAAACTGGTATGCCAAAACTTTGACATCTTTTAAAGTCAGGCCGTAGTGAAGATGAGCAGCTTTTTTTAATGTATCCAACTAGAAGTAGCTCCTCCTCTTCTGAGAATACTTTTTTGACATCATTTTTTTTTTTTTTTTTTTTTTGCTGCCTATACAAATAGTTATCCACACCAGATTCTTGGAAATTTTTTAAGTGACACAATAGGGTGGTTTTCGGAATATTCATTTGTTTGGCAGCTCCATAAATTGTTGATTTTTTTCAAGAGCTAACTGCACCGCTTTCTCTAGATCTTCTTTGAGAATAGGCTTTCTTGTTATACCAATCTTGCTTCTTGGCATTTTGATTCTATAACAAATAAAACAAACTAGGTTACTTGGCTAATCAAGGTATAGATACTCCTTATGACAAATATTTAAAATTGAAACAAAAACATTTAGGTAAAAACTATTTTTTATGTTAAAAATAAGTAGGCTGCCTACTGGTATAAATTTGTAGCCTAAATTGAAATTTTCTTTCTTCCATGTTATTTTGTGTGAGCCTAAATCTTCTTTTTCCTTTTACTGCAATAATATCTAAATATATTACCCATTAAGCTTACTTTATTTGCAAAGTTCAAAACTGAAAAATTAAGTGATGTACCTTGGACCGGTCCATGGTACAATCTATGAACTAGGTCCAAGGTACAACACCTGGCCTTTTTGTAAAAACATGGTTCTAGACTATATTCTAGGTTAGGATTAACATGGTCTGAATCATATGAAACTGTAGCTGAGTTGTTGGTTTATAGCATCAAATTGCAAGATGAGATAAACAATCATTAAATCCTACTTCCTACTAATATTATAAATGAGAAAGTTTAGATGTATGGATGTATGGATGGATGGATGTATGTTTGTGACAAGTGAACGCGAAAAATACTGGTCGGATTGGGCTGAAATTTGGCATGATGATAGCTCACATTCCCGATTAACATATAGGCATATTCTTATTTCAAAAATCCTTTCGGGCTCTGCCCCAGTGGCTCTGGAGTTTCCCATGTTAACCTTATGAGAAATGGAATTATTGAATCTTAACAGCTGTTTCAATTAAACAAGTTGGTTCTGTTCTGTGATGTTCAATAGCATTAAAGTTACAAGGATTACCAACAGGGTGCAGCACTATTTTTCTTTTACATTTATGACAACAGCTAATTTGCAACCAAAAGGTGAGTGAGCGTAGCGAACGAACTTCAACCTGGAGGCGAGTTAGCGTAGCTAACGAGCTAACCTGAAGGCAAGTGAGCGCAGCGAACGAGCTCCAACCTAACGGTGAGTGAGCGTAGCGAACGAGCTCCAACCCAAAGGTGAGTGAGCGTAGCGAACAAACTTCAACCAGGACGTGATTGAGCCATGCGAACGAGATAATCTTGAAAATTAAGAAGTTAAACGGGGCAAAGCCCGCGGGTTACAGCTAGTCTAACATAATAAAAGAATACCCCCCGCCGCAGCAAACCTGCAGACTAAGCGAATTTCCATTTGACTGATTGGATTTACACTGAAATGTCTACTTAAAAATATAACATTTATTCCCTATTTAAATAGAATTAGTTTAACAAGTACTTAGGTTTGCTGCATCAGGGAGGGTAAAACAGTTTTTTTTTTAATGTTAATAGTTGGTAAGAAATAATGCCTTCCTCACATGCCTAAATCAGAACTGATTATTTGGTTTCAAAACGAATTGATTTCATTCCGCATTAAGTTGAGTATAAACAGCTCTCCTCACTCAGTCCTCAGTTCGCATACCGTCGTCCAGACCACGCCATATTACCATCAGTACCGTTCAATGAACCTTAGATTCGTAATTTTTACAGTTTTACTCTGCTACTTAGGAATCTCTTCGACAAAAACTGATTGCATTTATGGATTCAGCGTGAAAAAAACTGTAAAAATACCCCCGCCGCAGCAAACCTGCAGACTTAGCAAATTTCCATTTGTCTGATTGGATTTAAACTAAAATGTCTCCTTAAAAATATCACATTTATTTATTCCCTATCTAAACAAAATAAGTTTAATGAGTATTTAGGGAGGGTAAAAAGTTTTTTTTTTTTCATG